ACAGTGTTATAGGGGGCTAAATGATGGACGCCGAGTGCTGAAGAGTTGCGCAGGATCTACGCACGCTGCGCAGAATGCCACGCTCAGGAAAATGCTGTGTCTCGGGCGCGCTGGGGAGGCGGATTGGGTGAGTTGGGTGCGGAGCGCGACGAGGCAAGCAAGGAGACTGGCGCACGAGGCGGACGTGAGGGATTGGAGACACGAGCTTTTGACGAAGATGGAGATGGGCGGGACATGTAGCCCGATTGCCTGAACATGAATGGGCTCGACAAGTGACTGGTTGGAAGGGATTCGGCTTGGCAGGCCGATGTGGAAGACAGATGGTTGAGGCCAGCAAGGGCAGAACGGCTACAATGGATGAAATTCGAACATGCGTTGAGATGTGTTGGTGCGCAGGCAGGGCATAGGCAATGAAGGCAGGAGGTACAAGACCGTGAGACCCGGAAGTAATTGTCTGCTGAATACGCTGCGTGGGCGACTACGACGGAAGCCCCGTGCTGAGGACTCATCTTCGTTGCCGTCATATTACATGAAGGGATCGGCTCGGTTCGGTTCGGTCCGGTTCTGCAGCCGGGTCGGTTTTGCTTGGCCGGTTCGGTTTGGCATCCGTCCGGTTTCGGCCGGTTCGGCTTGGGCCTGCCGCCGGTTCGGTTCGGTTCCGGTTTTCGCGCGGTTGGGTCCGACCGTTTCGGTTCGGTTCGAGTGGCCGCTCCGGTTCGGTTCGGCCCGACTGGTCAGGTGCGACGTTGGGCGCCCCGTCTGCGTAAGCGACGACCCAGTTTGAAAAAAAGGAGGAGGAGGAGGAGGAGGAGGAGGAGGAGGAGGAGGAGGCGGAGGCGGAGGCGGAGGAGGGAGGAGGAGGACGACGAGGAGGAGAAGGAGGAGGAGGAGCAGGAGGAGAAACGTGGAGGCGTGGAGGCGCGTGCGACGTGCCCCGACGGGGGTCGCAGCCCCGAGGGGGGTCGCAGCCCCGAGGGGGGTCGCAGGGGGGTCGCCCCGCCAGGGGGGTCGCAGCCCCCAGGGGGGTCGCGCCCGCCAGGGGGGTTGCACCCGCCAGGGGGGTTGCACCCGCCAGGGGGGTTGCGCCCGCCAGGGGGGTTGCGCCCGCCAGGGGGGTTGCGCCCGCCAGGGGGGTTGCACCCGCCAGGGGGGTTGCGCCCGCCAGGGGGGTTGCACCCGCCAGGGGGGTTGCACCCGCCAGGGGGGTTGCACCCGCCAGGGGGGTTGCACCCGCCAGGGGGGTTGCACACGCCAGGGGGGTTGCCAGGGGGGTTGCGCCCGCCAGGGGGGTTGCACCCGCCAGGGGGGTTGCACCCGCCAGGGGGGTCGCGCCCGCCAGGGGGGTTGCACCCGCCAGGGGGGTTGCACCCGCCAGGGGGGTTGCACCCGCCAGGGGGGTTGCGCCCGCCAGGGGGGTTGCGCCCGCCAGGGGGGTCGCACCCGCCAGGGGGGTTGCGCCCGCCAGGGGGGTTGCGCCCGCCAGGGGGGTTGGGGTTGCACCCGCCAGGGGGGTTGCGCCCGCCAGGGGGGTTGCACCCGCCAGGGGGGTCGCACCCGCCAGGGGGGTTGGCCAGGGGGGTTGCGCCCGCCAGGGGGGTTGCACCCGCCAGGGGGGTTGCACCCGCCAGGGGGGTTGCACCCGCCAGGGGGGTCGGCGCCCGCCAGGGGGCAGGGGGTTGCGCCCGCCAGGGGGGTTTGCACAGGGGGGTCGCGCCCGCAGCACCCGCCGGGGGGTTGCTGCCCCGCCAGGGGGGTTGCACCGCCAGGGGTGTTGCACCACCCAGCCAGGGGGTGCCAGGGGGGTTGCACCCGCCAGGGGGGTTGCGCCCGCCAGGGGGGCGCACCCGCCAGGGGGGTTGCCCGCCAGGGGGGTTGCGCCCGCCAGGGGTTGCGCCCGCCAGGGGGGTTGCACCCGCCAGGGGGGTTGCACCGCCAGGGGGGTTGCACCCGCCAGGGGGGTTGCCAGGGGGGGTTGCGCCCGCCAGGGGGGTTGTCGCGCCGCCAAGGGGGGTGCACGCCAGGGGGGTGCACCCGCCAGGGGGGTCGCGCCCGCCAGGGGGTTGCACCCGCCAGGGGGTTGCACCCGCCAGGGGGGTTGCGCCCGCGAGGGGGGTTGCACACCGCCGCGCCGCCAGGGGGGTTGCGCCCGCCAGGGGGGTTGCGCCCGCCAGGGGGGTTGCACCCGCCAGGGGGGTTGCGCCCGCCAGGGGGGTTGGGGGGTTGCGCCCGCCAGGGGGGTTGCACCCGCCAGGGGGGTTGCACCCGCCAGGGGGGTGCACCCGCCAGGGGGGTTGCACCCGCCAGGGGGGTTGCGCCCGCCAGGGGGGTTGCACCCGCCAGGGGGTCGCGCCCGCCAGGGGGGTTCGCAGGGGGGTTGCACCCGCCACCCGGGGGGTTGCACCCGCCAGGGGGGTTGCACCCGCCAGGGGGGTTGCGCCCGCCAGGGGGGTTGCACCCGCCAGGGGGGTTGCGCCCGCCCAGGGGGGTTGCGCCCGCCAGGGGGGTTGCACCCGCCAGGGGGGTTGCACCCGCCAGGGGGGTTGCACCCGCCAGGGGGGTTGCCCGCCAGGGGTTGCACCCGCCATGGGGGTCGCGCCCGCCAGGGGGGTCGCGCCCGCCAGGGGGCTCGCACCCGCGAGGGGGGTCGAAGTCGCTGTCGCTGTCGCCGCTGCCGCCGCCGCCGTCGCCGCCGCCGTCGCCGTCGCCGTCGCGGGTCGCCAGGGGGGTCGCCAGGGGGGCTGCCAGGAGGGTCGCCAGGGGCCCCCCCGGGGCTCCCCCGCGGCCCCCCGACGACGACGGCGACGACGACGACGACGACGGACGCTTGCCGACGCCCGCGCCCGCCGACGCTGCCGCCGTCGAGGAGGAGGAGGAAGCGGAGGAGGAGGAGGAGGAGGAGGAGGAGGAGGAGGAGGAGGAGGAGGAGGAGGACGAGGAGGAGGAGGAGGAGAAGGAGGAAGAGGAGGAGGGGTCGCGGGAATCTTCGGGAGGTTCTGGGGTCATCGGGGTCCCGGAGTCCTGGGGGTCATCGGGGTCCTGGGGTCCGGACCAGAGGGGAAATGGGTTCGGTTCGGTTCCCGTCGGTTCGGTTCAGGGGCCGCCCGGTTCCGGTTCGGTTCCGGTTCTGGTTCGGTTCGGTCCTCGCCGGTTCGGTTCTGAATGAATTCGGTTCGGTCCGGTTCGGTTTTCTACGTTCCTGGTTTTGGACCGGTTCGGTCCGGTTCTGTCACGGTTCCCGGTTCTCGGTTCGGTGCGGTCCCTTCATGATATTATACGCCGTCCTGCCCCCCGTGGGTCCATGAGCTAAACCTTCACGTTTCACACTTCCCCATCCTCCTGATCCTCCTCGTCATCATCATCGTCCCCCTCCTCATGATCAACATCAACATCGTCATCAAAGCCTACATCAACACCATTCCTTATGATGTTTCTTACCTTCCTCTTTCTATATCCACATGTTCCTCCTCCTCCTCCTCCTTTTCCTCCTCGTCCTCGTTCCGCTTCTCCTCGGCCTCAAGTCGGGCACTGCTTTGACATGAGATTGACGTTTGCTTGAAGCTCGGAAGGTCGGCCCTTCAAAGTGATTCCGACCCGATCCGAAGCGACCAACCAAGTGCGACCAAAAGAGGGCGGGGGCAGAAATCACGGGCGCGCTTCGCCCCAGCAGAGAGCAGTGGCATGTCCATCTTCATGGCGCCTCCAGTTCGCCATCCATTCATGGCCATCCCCCTCCAATTTGCTACATCTCGGAGAACAAGCAAGGGGGAGGAGGAGGCTGGCAGAGGAAGACGTGGAAGGATGAGGGTGTCAGACAGCGTCAGGGTACGAATGAAACGTTCAAGAGCTTTCTCAGAGAAATTCTGGAACGGCCGTGGCGCTGGACACCCCCTTCTAGGCCCGCAGGCGTCAAAAGATCCCTGGGCTGCTCGTGTGGGCTCGACGTGTTGGTATGATGCCCTCGTCCCCGGACGAGGAAGAGGAGGAGGAGGAGGAGGCGGAGGAGGAGGAGGAGGAGGAGGAGGAGGGTCAGGACGAGGAGGAGGAGGAGGAAGACGACGACGACGACGACGACGACGACGACGAAGAAGACGACGTTCGAGGAGGCAAGAGTAGGGAGGAGGAGGAGGAGGAGGAGGAGGAGGAGGAGGAGGAGGAGGAGGAGGAGTAGGAGGTGGAGGAGGAGGAGAAGGAGGAGGAGGAGGGGGAGGGGGAGGGGGAGGAAGACAAGCTAGGTGCGCTCGCGTCATATCTGACATCCTACCCCTCCCTCCCATCCCTTACCATGGCGCAGATCCCCTCTCTACTCGCTCAGTCGGATGTCGAGCAGGGCAATGATCCCGAAAGGGTACGCGATGCATTGTAGAGCACGGCATGGCATGGCGTAGAAGAGCACCGCAAAGCGTAGTATCAACCTAGCATTGCATTGCATGCCGTGGCATGGCACGGGAAATGACGCCAGCGCTGCAGCGGGAGCACGAGTCGAAACGAGCGGAAGCGCGGAAATGAGGCCAGCGCTGCAGCGGGAGCACGATTCGGAACGAGCGGAAGCACGGAAATGAGGCCAGCGCTGCAGCAGGAGCACGATTCGGAACGAGCGGGGCCCGAAAATGAGGCCGGCGCCTCAGCGCGAGCAGCATCTTTTTATGCAGGCGAAAACCCAACTCCGGGGAAACCTGTGTGTAAAAAACAGTACGCGGGGGGGATCGGCCACTTTCAAACCGTCATCAGGGGAAGAGGGAGAGTAGTATTCATATTGAGTCATTGTGAAGGAGGAGGAGGAGGAGAAGGAGGAGGAGGAGGAGGAGGAGGGTCGAGGAGTGGCGAGGAGGAGGAGGAGGAGGAGGGACGAGGGACGAGGGATGGTGAGGAGGAAGGGGGGAAGAGGAGGGGGGAAGAGGGACGAGGGATGGTGAGGAGGAGGAGGAGGAGGAGGAGGAGGAGGAGGAGGAGGAGGAGAAGGAGGAGGACGTCGAGGGAGGAGGAACGGGAGCAGGAGGGGGATGAGTGGGAACGTGCGCCCCAGCACGGTGAAGCGGCCGTTCCCCAGGGTGCCGCAAAGGCGGCCAAAGGCGCGGGCAAGGGACCGCCCCCAGGCAAGAAGGCCCCTGCGGTGAAGGCCGGCCGCCTGCTTCACCCCCTGAGGTTCGGGCGTTGCAATTTTTTAGCGACGAGCGTTTCTTCGCCTTGTTCAGGACCTCGGGACCATCACAGACCGATTGTGCAGAAAGATGGGATCCAGGGCTCCGGTCGAGTTTTGTTCTGCCATGCTGATTTTTTCGAGACGCGGGATCTGAGGGCCTGCCCCCATGCTCCCCCCCTGCCGCTTCGCTATCCTCTCCCAGCGCCCCCCCCTCCCCTCATCCTTGCCCCCACAGATAGCGCCCCGTTCCCAGGACCCCTTCTCACCCTGTCTTTCCCGTGGCCTTCGCCCCATCACCATCTCTTGGGTCACCCGCGAGGGCGTGAAGACAGCCGCGCGTCGCGCATCGCGGCCTGGGCCGAAGAAGCGCCCTTCTCTAGGGCGGCGGCGACGGCGCGAAGATGCCCGTCGCGCACCGCGGGGCGCGATGCGCGAAGGTGGGTGACATGGATGTCTTGCCCTGCCCACCGCTCCCCGTCCTCTGCCCTCTCCATCCCCCTCCCCAGCTCCGATGCGCCCCCTGCCCTTTCGCGCTCCCTCACTCGCCTCCTCCTCCTCCGCCTCCTCCTCCTGCGCCTCCTCCTCCTCCTCCTCCTCCTCCTCCTCCTCCTCCTCCTCCTCTTCCTCCTCCCGTAGCTGATGCCGCTCGCTCAAGACGGCGTTTTTTTGGTTTGCGGCTCAAGCTAGCCTCGGCATATGTTGATATCATTGGTTTTCTCTTGTTAGACGTGATTTGATTCGTAATTGTGTTCTCTGATATTCCAGTATGGAAGGAGCCAGTAGCATTATATCTACGACTACTGGACGTGCGTTGCGACTGTACACTGGACAACATTTCTCTGGTATGCAGGCTGCTATTCATGCCGTTGGGTATGGGTTATCTTCGCCCTTTCGTAGACATGTTCAACAACTTGGCATTGCGTACAATTTCGTGCGGCACCATACGGACCAATGGGAGGATGAGTTCTTCTCCTATCTGGAGTCCGAGCTCGCTGCTGCTTTTCCTGATCGACAACTTGCGCTTCGTGTTCAAACTCCTAGATAAGCTCGGCGCCGCACTGGTCCCGAGGCTGGCTTGCGTTAGGAGGCCCCTGTCTTCGTACCTTCGCCGCCTGCGGTGGCTCCGGTTCCCAGGCCGCTTATCTCGTTCTATGGGCTGCCACATGAGGCGCAGAAAGTGTACGACGGGCAGCTTGCTGCCTACAGTTCCCTTGTGGTCGACGTGAACGCAACGATCGCGCTGCTCAAGGGTACCTTGGAGAAGGCACGTCCTTGGTCATCACATCACCGCCCTCGGCTTCACCGTCAAACCCAGGCGATGCCGAAGACCAGAAGCGGGCGTACGGAAGCAGGTCCGCCACACCAGATGGCTCAGGTGCCCTGTGAGATGAAATCGATGCTGCCCACACTCGGATCGACGCCCTCCCCAGCCGCATCGACGGGAAGATTCAGAAGGAACTCGACAACATCCAACGCAAGGTGCCCGCTCCTGTAAAGGAGAGCGTGCAGGCCGCCTCCGCCCCCCACTCTCGACGCGCTGGACCTGCTGCGCTCTCGGCTCGCTGCCCAGCGGCCCGAGGCTCCATGGGCGGAGGTGTCCGCGCAGGCCGTTGAACTCCAGACTTGCCGTCGCTCGGACGTCCATTTCCCGCGCATTTGTCGGTTTCGTGCGTGTTTTTGTTTTGTTTTGGCTCGATGGTCCGGGATGAACCTCGATGGTTCTCGCCGAGAAAAAAAATGCCCACGTCCGAGCGATGCCAGAGCAGGGCCTGCGAGCGTGGCTCCCCGCTGCGCGGCGACGGCTCCAGTGCCCCCCTGGGGCCACCCGCTGCGGGCCTATCCGCTCGAGCCTGCAGGCATCTGGGCGACGACGTCGCCGACCTCACGGTGCGATCGCCCGCCCCGACGGGCCGGGTCGTCGAGGAGGTCGGCGAGGCTGCCTCGCGATCTGCCTCGGCGCCGCGCGGACGCGGCGCCTCGCGTGCTGCTGCTGCTGCGGCGGCCCCGCGGCCATCCAGCGTCGGCCCCGTCCAGATCGAGCCCGCGGCGGCACGGATCAGCCACGATCGCTCCGAGGACGTCGCGCTCGCGGATGTCCTGCTGCAGCACCCGTCCCTGCGCGGCCCCCTGCCTGCTGGATGGTCTCGTGGGCTTCTGCTTGGATGCCAGCCCCCAGAGCCCGATGTCGACTGAGAATTGGGCTGGCTACGTATTTCGATGGCGTCCTCTTCGGCGGCCTGCGTGCGTGCCCTGGCTCGTCCTCGCGTGGCCCTTCCCGGGCATGGTGCTCGTGGACTGCCCTCCCCCCCTTGGCTACGTCCACGCGCTGCTGCCCTTCGTCTACCTTTCCCTCGCCCTTCCCGTGGCGCTCCCTGGTATGCGGCTATACTAATGTGGGTTTGCGCCTTCTCACTGTTTGGGGTGCAGATTGTAGTAGACTATCCGATTGACAGGACGTTCCCTCTACGCTCGTTTCCTCCTCCTCCTTCTCCTGCTCCTCTTTCCTACCCAGACACATGGCGTCATGTTTGTTCCCCACATCCAAATTGGCGTTCTTGTCTTCTTTGCAAACACCACGCGCAAGACCTCTCCTCCCCCCTCTTCTCGTCTCCCTCCGCACACTTACTCACACACTCACTCAATCACTCAGACCATCATCATCATCATCATCATCATCATCATCATCATCATCATCATCATCATCATCATCATAATCATAATCATCAGCATCATCATCAGCGTCATCATCATCATCCTCATCATCACCAGCATGATCCTCATCATCCTGATCCTCGTCATCACCATCATCATCGTCGTCAGAATCATCATCATCATCATCATCATCATCATCATCATCATCATCATCATCATCATCATCATCATCATCATCATCATAATCATCACCATTTGTATCATCAGCAGCATCAGCATCGGCCCGCACGTCAAGATGCTCGGCTACTTCCTGGGCCCTGCCGTGACGGACGAGCCATGGGAGACCCCAGTGGCCCAGCGGAAGCAGCGGACAGAGGCTACCGCAGGCGACGGCATGCCCCCTGGCAGGGATCTGCTTCTGCAGCCGCCCTCGCGGCGTGGGTGCGCGCGACGGTGAAGACTCTCGAGCGGCAGCAGCAGTGGAACGACATGGCCGAGTGGGCGGAGGATCATGCTCTGGCCGTGCGCATCCTCAACGGCGCGCCCTGGGAGGAGCACGCGCTGTCTCCGGCGATGGCTTCGAGCCTGCGCCAGGTGGCGATGAGCTCCATCCGCGGCTCCGGACAGGTGGAGAAACGTTCGGCGGCAGCGGCGAGTGCAGGCAGGCGCGCGGTCGCACATGCCCGGGTGCGCGTTGACGAAGGGGGGGGGCTGGTGCGCAGAAGGCTGCGCAGGCGGCTCTGCTCCACACGCTTCAGCAGCCCGGGCTGTCCTGCTCCGCTGCCAGCAGAATGAGTGAACATCTCCCCCTGTCGCCCCATCCTCCCTCTGCCTCCTTTGGTTCTCTCTTCTCCGACCTCCGCTCTCGTCCTCCCCGGTTTGTGGGAGCTGCGTTGAAAACCTTCGTTGGGGCGTGGACCACCACGCACAGAGTGCACGAGGCTATGAATTGACGGTGTTGCTTCGGATGTGGTGCTATGGACACCGTGTCGCACTATGCGCAGTGCGACGCCCTCTTTTAGACGCAATCCAGCAGCACCTTCCTCGAGCTATGCGTTGCTCTCTAGGCCAACCGCCCCAGGAGGTGGATGCCGAGTGGGCCATCCAAGTTTATATCATGTACGGCGTGTAACACGCCATGAAACATAGGTACTGCGATCATTGTGTTTCGCCACGTGCCATTGCCAAAGCTGCTGCCTATGCCGCAGCGCTTCTGGCTGCCAAGTGAGATCGGGCGACCCTTCCTACCCAACGTAATATCATCATCAGCAGCAGCATCACCATCAGCACCAGCAACATCATCATAATCATCATCACCATCAGCATCACCATCATCAGCAGCATCATCATTATCATCAATGATAATCGCCACCGCCAGCTCCACCGCCTCTCACAATCTCACCACCAGGAAGCTCATCATCAGCATCAGCATCATCATCATACTCATCATCACAACCACCACCATCCCCACTATCATCAGCATCGCCATGATGGTCATTGGCATCATAGCCAACCTCAGCATCAGCATCCTCACCGCCATCCCCGTCATCAGCAGCAACAGCAGCATCCCCATCACTGCCCCACACGCTCCACACCCTCGTGACCACTCACCGGAAGTCTTAGATCTCGAGGAAGGCTCGAGCGGGAGCCTGGCCTGTGAGCCTGGAATTCTCAGATCTCGAGGAAATATCGGGCGGGAGGCCCTTCCCTGCTGGACCCGCAGATCATGTGCTTCATCCGAGCGGGTCGTCGGATTCCGAATTCAAAAAAATGTTTTTGAATTCAAAAAACAGGTTTTCGAATACAGAAACCAGTTTCTGAATTCCCAAACCAGTTTTTCGAATCAAGAAACCAGGAACTGTCGTCGCGCTGGGGCTCCTGAGGCCCGAATCTGGTAGTCGGTCACGATTTTCCTAGTTGTCTTCGGCTATGTTTGAATTTCTTTTGCGTATGTTTTATTCTTCGTCCAAAATCCCCATGTCGGGGGGCATGCCCGACCTGAGGTCGGACCGCAGATGTCAGGGTGTTCGTCTGTTCGGGCACGCTGCCGGTACCCAGGAGATGCTCCAGGCGCGAACGTGATGGGGATCGCCGCCGTGCGCACCCGGAGATGATGGGGCGGCGAAGATGGGGGTGAGGACCAGCCCAGCCCTCCCAAATGGGGTCCGAGCAGATGGGGTCGGAGGATCACGCCGCACCGCCGATGCATCGGCGGTGCGGCCCGATGTGGAGCCCGATCTTCTCCGCCCATGTCGCCGATGCATCGCCGACGTCGCCGCTGTACCGACGATGCATCGGCGATGCGGCGCGTCCTCCGGCCCCATCTGCTCGGACCCAGCTTGGGAGGCCTCTAACCAGGAGGGGGGATCGGTGTCGTGGCCACGCCATGACATCTCTTTTAGATGTCATGCCCAACTCGTCCGCACTCCCTCGTCCGCGCCCATGCCTCACGCGATGTCTCCTCTTTGGTCACTCCCCTTCGGCGCACCCGGCTCTCGCTCTTCAAGGCTCCACGCTTCGGGCCCCAGGTGGGACGAAGATGGAGCCCTCTGGGGGCGGGTGAGGTTGCGCGCCTTTTCAGATGCGCCTCGCTGCTTGAGGCCTGGGGTCGCAGGAACGGGGGCCTCTCAGTCATGGAGGGTTTCTCCGAAGGGCTTAGGCGACCCGTCCTCTCCTCTCCTCCTCCCCCTCCTCATCTCCTCTCCTCATCCTCTCCTCCCTCCCCTCTTCCCTCCACCTCCTCATCCTCCTCCTCCTCTTCCTCTCCTCCTCTCCTTCCCTCCTCTCCTCCTCTCTCCTCTCCTCCTCTCCCCTCCTCCTCTCCTCTCCTCCTCTCCTCATCTCTCATACTCCTCATAATCTCATCCTCATCCTCATCCTCCTCCTTCCACTCCTCCCCTCCTTTCCTCTCCTCCTCCTCCTCTCCCCTACTCCTCCACACCCTCCCCCCTCTCCGCCTCCTATCACTCCTCCTCCTCCTCCTCCTACTCCTCTCCTCCTCCTCCTCCTCCTCCTCCTTCCTCCTCCTCTCCTCCTCCTCCTCCTCCTCCTCCTCCTCCTCCCCCTCCTCGGGTCGCCTACGGCCCCGGGGGAGACCGTGCACTCGGTCGTGCCTGCCGTCGCCGCACCGCCCTGTGACGCCCTGCCGGCCGGTGCCAGGGGAAGGCCTCGGCGGCCAAGGAGGGCGCCGCGAAGGCGCCGCCCAAGGCGGGCAGCTGCAGGGAGGAGGAGGGCGAGGGGAAGGAGGGCAGGACGAGGAGGAGGAGGAGGAGGAGGAGGAGGAGGAGGGAAAGAAGGAGGAGGATGAAGGAGGAGGAGGCCGAGTGGAAGGAGGAGAGGACGAGGAAGGATGAGGGCGAGGGAAGGAGGAGGGCGAGGAGGGAGGGAGAGGGAAGGGAGGCAGGAGGAGGAGGAGGAGGAGGAGGAGGAGGAGGAGGAGCACGAGGAGGGCAGGAGGACAAGGGCGAGGTGTGGCACGGCAGCGGGCACACCTGCGGGCGGGGGCGGACGCGAAGGTGCAGGGGGGCAGCGGAAGAGACGACTTCCGTGTGGTGGCGGAGGGGGGGGGAGAGGAGCCGGAGGAGGCAGCACCAGCAGCGGAGGGACGGGCGTTTGAGAAGGGCAGGGGCGGCGTGCCCCCGCCTCTGCCGCGCACTCTCCTCCGTGCGCGCCGCTGCTGCGGCGTGCCTTCGGAGCGAGCCACCGCTGGCATCCAGCTGCCCATCGTCACCCCGGCTCTGCCAGCGCCTCCATCGTGTGTCGGGGGCGGCAAAGAGGGGGGGGGATGAAAAGGGGGGGTCGATATCATGGCGTGGGCCATGATATTTCCCCAGATTTCATGGCGCCCCTTCTTATTTCATTACGTCCCTGGTCCCCCCCCCCTGGGCCGCGCACATGCCGCCGGCCAGGATTTGCGCCCCCCCCTCTTGGACGCCCCCCTCTTGGCCGCCCCCGAGTGTGCTGGCCTGCGTGGCATCGTCGCCTGCACCCCGCGCCCCGCGGGGTGGTCTCCTCCCGCCCCCTCTTGCGCTGTCCCGCACGGCAGGCAGAGGGCATCGCGCAGGATTATGGAGGGGCGAGACCCCCGCGCTGCTGCGCCGCACCTCGCCTCTGGGGGGCCTGGTGGTCTCCTCTGGGGGGGGGAAGGTTCGTCGCCGGGGGGCGGCCGAGGGGCTGGGGCGGGGGGCAGCATGAGGACGGGGAGCTGAGGAGAGGGGAGCAACGCTCGTCGCCCCGCTGCTCCCGCGAGGGGGCGGCTGGGGCGCGCCGGTGCGGCGGGGGGCGCGGGAACGTCAATCGGTGGTCGCCTCTGGAGGACGTCTACCTGTCGACCCCTGCTCAGGAGCGAGAGGAGGATGCACACGTACACGGGTCCACGCTGGTTTCGAGAGTACGCATTGCGCGGATGTGCGTCTCACGCGGCTGGTCTCGCGGATCGAGGGGCCGCGTTCGCTCTACATGGTGGGGCGCGCGTGCGATCTCTGTGGGCTCTTTGCTTGCCCCACACGGGAGGCAGAGGGCACCGCGCAGGATGGCGGGGCGGAGCCTCGCGCTGCTGCGCCGCACCTCGCCTCGGGTGGGCGCCAGCCTGCCCGGTCTTGTCTGTGCGGGCCGCCGTCGCTGCCCAGGGCCTCGAGGCCAAGCTCATTGACCGTCCGCATGCTGTTGAACGACTTTGGCGTCCTGGCCTTCTGGGGGACCCCGAGGCGCCAAGACGGCCCGAAAGAGGCCGCCCCAAAAAAAGGCTTTTGGGATCGCCCCACGAGGCCTCCGAGAGTTATGATGTTCCAACCTACTGTAGCCTTGATCACCAGAATGAATTTCGAGCACCAAGAAAGCACCCAACAAATCGAGGGTTTTCACGTGTCGGGCCCTGGGAGACACTCTTTCGACACTGTTTCGATACTCTTTCGACACTTTTCTGGGTGCTCGAAATTATTTCTGGCATGCGGTCCTTAAGTAAGATGGGAGCAACATAATCCGAGAGGTCCCCAAAACGGCCAAACCCAGACATGCGACGTCCTGATTTTTTCAGGACGGCGCCCCCGCAAGTCCCGACCCTTTCCCCGGGGCTGTTTTTTTTCGTCCTGCGTCGTTTTCTTGACGGCCCCGAGGCCCGGCGAGGGCCCCCCCGGGGCCGAAGCGAAAAGCCTCCCGTCCCGATTTTTTGTACGACGCGAGCATGTCTGGAATGCACGCGTCCGAGTAGGAGGACAGGTGGAGGAGGAGGAGGAGGAGGAGGAGGAGGAGGAGGAGGAGGAGGAGGAGAGGCGGGGGACGAGGAGGAGGAGGAGAGGAGGAGGAGGAGGAGGCGAGGAGGAGGAGGACAGGAGGAGGAGGAGGAGGGAGGAGGAGGAGGCGAAAACCTCGCGTCCTGTTTTTTTTTGCGGCGCGAGCATGCCTGGGCAGAGACGCCCCCGAAACGGCCCCGGAAACGGCCCTCGAGGCGGGCCCGCCCGCCGCCGCGGGGGCCTCCCCGCCAGGCGCCCCCCGCGCGCCAGAGGGAGCGCGCCAGGCCGCCTTGCGGGCCGGCCTCCGCTCCCCCGGGGGCGCTGCGGGCGCGGAGGCCCGGGCGGCGGGCCCCTGCCTCTACAGGAGGAACATTGAAAAATAATATTAGAAAAAACAAAAACAAAATGTTTTTGTTTTGTTTTTCTAATATTATAATTAGAAAAATATTCAAACAACATATTCAAAAATTAGGAAAAAAACAAAAACAAAATATTCAAAAATAATATAATATTAGAAAATAATAGGACTATGTTTTGAATATGTTTTGGCCATTTTGCTGTTTTTTTTGACTATGCTGTTTTTTTCGCCGAAAATCCCCCTGTAGGAGGACACGCCCGACTTAAGCCAAGGCGGGCCCCTCTGCTCCCGTGCAGGCAGGGCGCGCTCCGACGCAACGGCAGGCCTTGGCATCGCTCGGACCCCAGACCTCCTCGCGTTGTGAAAAAATCACGACGGGAGGTTTTTCCTTATTTCCGGCCTCAGGGGGCCCTTACCGGGCCTCGGGACAGTCAAAAAAACGACGAAACCGGTCCCTGGGAAGGGGTCCAAACCTCTGGTGGTCGACGTTGTGGAAATCACGACGTCGGGGGTCTGGGACGTGTGCATCTTTTCTCGGCGAAGGCCCTCGGAGTCAAGCAGTGACGAAGCGTCCCGGCGTGCCTATAGGCCTACCAAACAGTGTTCTAGGAACTTTGTGTCGTTTCCACGAAATGTTCCTAGAACTTTTCCGGCCGAGATTGTCTTGTTCTCACACATCGGGCTTATGTTCTAAGAGCATTGTTTCTGTTATTAGAACGCTTTGGGGTTCTAGGAACATGTCGTGGTAGGCCTAGAGAAATGCTGGGACGGTCGGTCCCTGCTCAACGTGGTAGGCCTAGAGAAATGCTGGGACGGTCGGTCCCTGCTCAACGGTGAGCATCTTGGACCACCTCGCGAGAAAATTAGTGGACGCTCGACAGCGAAAAAAGTGGACGCTTGGACCACCTCGCGAGAAAATGAGTGGACGCACCGGGGACTGGACGGTCCGCGGTTCTTCCACCTCCATGGAATTGATCTCGGGTAGGCCCATAGGATCCTGGGCAAGGGGGAGGGGGGGGGACCCTCGTCGCCACACGCCCCCCCCCCGAAGCGCGGCGCGCGCACGGAGGGCCGGGCGGCCGGGGACTGGACGTGCGAGCGAGGGCGGCCGTCGGGCCGGCTTCTCCCGAGGGGCTGCAGGCGCGGAGGATCGGCGCCGGGCCCCGCTCCCGTGCAGGGCCGGCGCGCTGCGACGCCACGGCAGGCGGCTCTGGCGACATGCTTCGGGGGGGGAGGAGGATAAAGAGGAGGAGGACGAGGAGGAGGAGGTTAAGGAGGAGGAGGAGGCGGAGGAGGAGGAGGAGGAACGAGGAGGAGGAGGTTGGGAGGAGGGGAGGAGGAGGAGGCGGGAGGAGAGGAGGAGGAGAAGGAGGCGGCAGTCGGCCGGCTTCTCCCGAGGGGCTGAAGGCAGCGCAGGATCGGCGCCGGAACCCCGCGCCCGCTCCGTGCAGGGACGGCGCGCTGCGACGCCACGGCAGGCGGATTGGCGACATGTTCGGGGGGGTATGTTTATATAAGAGAGGAGGAGGAGGAGGGGGAGGAGGAAGGAGGTTGAGGAGGTAGGAGAGGAAGGAGGAGAGGAGGAGGAGGAGGGGGGGGGGGGGGGGGGGGGACGAGGGAGGAGGAGGTTGAGGAGGAGGGAGGAGGCGGCGGAGGAGGAGGAAGGGAAGGAGGAGGAGGAGAAGGAGTGAGGCGGAGGAGGAGGAGGGGGAGGAGGAGGAGGAGGGAGGAGGAGGGAGGAGGAAGGAGGAGGAGGAGGAGGGGGAGGAGTAGGAGGAGCGAGGAGGAGGAGGACGAGGAGGAGGAGGGGGAGGAGGACGAGGAGGAGGAGGAGGAGGCACGTGCCCCGATGCGTGCTGGCGCGTGCCCGAGTCCCAGCAGTCCCTGCAGAGTCGTGCCTGGCATCGGCCTCGTGGTATCGCCGGGCCGAGGCCGCGCGCTCCGGCCGCGCAGGCCAGGGCCTCCTTCATCTTGGGCGCGCCCTCCTCCTCGCTCGGGCCCAGACCTCCTCGAGTCATGAAAATAACATTACGGGAGGTTTTTCGTTCTTTTCGGCCTCTGAGGGCCCTTACTGGGCCTCGGGACCGTCAAAAAACGACTCGGGTTGAAAAACCAGTCCCGGGGAATGGGTCTGGACCTCTGGGGGTCGCGTCATGACAAAAATCATTACGTCGGGGCCTGGGGGGGCAGCTTGTCGGCCAGGGCCTCCTTCACTCAAGCAGTGGCGAAGCGTCTTGGCTCGCCCATAGCCCTCCCAAACAATGTTCTAAGAACCTCTTTTGTGGTTCCCACGAAAGGTTCTTAGAACCTGTCTGGCGGAGTCTGTCTTGTTTGAATACATCGGGCTTATGTTCTAAGAGCATTGTCTTTGTTCTTAGAATACTTCTGGGTTCTAAGAACATTTCGTGGTAGGACTACAGGAATGCCGGGACGGTCGGTCCCTGCTCAATTCACGCGCTTCGACTCCTCGACGAGGAACGCCTGCGTCACCCGGGCGCACGCAGCTGGCACAGCGGGAGGGTCTGGGGAGGACCGGCGGCGGGTTCGGCCCCCGCCGCCGTCCGCAGGCCACGCTGCCGAAGCTGGGGGAGAACATCTTCGGCAAGCGCCTGCACTGGCAGAACGCCACCACCGAGGTCGAAGGCATTGGGTGGGGCGGGGCGGGGCGGAAGAGGAGGAGAGAGGGGGGAGGGGGCAAGCTTGGTGCGCAAGCGTCACATCTGACGTCCTGCCCCTCCCTCCCATCCGTTACCACTGCGTAGATCTCCTTTCTATTCGCACAGTCGGACGGAGGGGGGATGGGGGAGAAGGAAAGGGAGGGAGGAGGACACAGACAGAGGGGGAGAAGAGGGAGATGGATGGCATGAGGGAAGAAAGGGGGAAGAGGGAAAAGGAGGGGGGAGAGTGGGAGAGGAAAGCCAGGCGCGCGCGCTATATCCGACATCCGATCCCTTCCTCCCATCCCTTCCCACTGCACTGACTCTTTCTCTGTCCGCGAACGCGTGCCATAGTCGACCTGGAACTCAAGAAACGATCCATGTCATGTCATGCGCAATCGCAAAAAGGCAGCTGCGCACATCGGAGGAGGAGGAGGAGGAGGTGGCGGGTGAGCAGGAGGATTGAAAGGAGGAAAGGAGGAGGAGGAGGAGGAGGAGGAGGAGGAGGAAGGAGGAGGGCGAGGACGAGCAGCAGCGGTAAGAACTGGAGTGGCGGGAGTGGGAGGAGCAGGACGATTTAGGTGAAGACGGACAGGCCTCGGAATAAAATAGCGAACGCTCATGCCACATTCACCTGTGAACGCCTCCCCCTCCCCCAAATGTTCAAAGTTGGCGGTGGGTCTGATGAGTTGCACCTCGATCGCAGTCTCCCCCGCGCGTGCCAACTTTGAGTTTGGGGGGCAGGGGGGGGGTCACTAATTGTTTCCCTCTACCAGAGGAGGGGAAGTGAGGGGGACGACAACGATGAAAAAGAACTCGGATACAGAACAGTGGCCCGTGTTGAGGCGAGAGCCGTTCGGAACGACGGAAGCAAGGCGCCGATCCGAGCATGAGGCCCGTGCTGCAGCGAGAGCATCAGTTTGAAACACCGAAAACAATAGAATTGCCAAAACACCCAGACAGAACACGTTCAAACTCATGTGCGTGTACAAGATAAACGCGGAGAGGGCCAAACACCCTCCGCACAGAGTCCAGAAAGAGAGGAGAGCAAAACAGTCGGACCGAGGCATAAGAGCGAGGTCGGTTCGGAAAGGGTACTCTAATGTTTTTCGTGTCTGCTGGATATTATTGCACGTCCTGGGGAGGGTACCCCTTGGCTGTTCTGTGTGTTTTGAGGGTCTAATGTTCTTGGAGGATGTGATTATGGCCCAGGTCTGACCGTAGTCATCATGAGTCATTGCGGAGGGAACGGTGCGGGGGGGGGACGGGGAGGGCGGAGCGAAAGGGGGAAGGAACTGGCGAGGTCAAGGGGTCGCTGGAGAGGAGGAGGAGGAGGAGGAGGAGGAAGACGAGGAGGAGAAGGAGAAACAGAGGAGGAGGAGGAGGAGGAGGAGGACCAGGATGAGGAGGAGGAGGAGCAGGAGGAGCAGGAGGAGCCAGTGGAAGGTGAGCGATGGACAAG